ATCTATCTATCTATCGTATATTAGACTATTCTGCTGTACTTTATGTTGGCTGAGAGGTAGTCATTCTTTATTAAATACTTCACCAACTACTATTTCTGGGAGAAGGTAACATGGCAAACATTTTAAAGGTAAATTTGATTCCACAGGTATGTATTTTAGATAACTCTTCTTTTATTGGGTAAGCAGAACATCTTGATCAGGCATTAAGAGGGCAATAATAATTATTTTTATTGCTAAATTAGTAGCATTGGACTGGCTTCCTGGCTTATTCCATTTATAAAAGTTTTGCTTTAGGAATAATCAAAGCACATACAATTACTTTATCATATGTAGTCTTGGATAATGAAGTGTGGGTTACTGAATAGGAGATATTTTCATTTCTTACCTCTATTTTTAGAAACATAACATCAGCTTCTGCTTTCTTTTCTTTGCAGATTCTGGTTCTGAAGTCTTCTTAAGCAGTCCTGGGGGAGGGGATTTCTTTACTTTTGAGGGATTTTCCCCTCATCAGCAACTTGGCATGTTATTACCTGATTATTGCTGATCACAGAATGAAAATAGCTTTGTTTGTACACACAATATTCTTATCACACTTTATGCCAATGTCATACATTATAGATTGGCCATGTTTGATTAAATAGAATGTATCTCTGATAAGAGAGTGTCCTTTGTTTAATATGTTGCCTATTAAAGAACTTCCAAAATGGATCTTTATTCGTTTTCAGCATTCATAACAATCATTTGCAACAATGCAGCATGTGTTTATTGATTTTCCAAAATGTTATCATGAGCTCTAATTCCAAATGCTCAAAGCAATAATCAAAAGAACGAGCTGCCATCTGTCTTTACTAAATTTTGTGGATTTATCCACAAAAAGCAATCCCACAATAAAAATATTGTAACAAGATAAAACATATAAAAATGTGACAATGCAAATAGGTGAGGTTTCATTTATGAAAAACAGGGGAGTATAGATATTAATTAGTTCTACATAGTTTCTCACCAAGGAAACTGACAGTTCATTTTTAGTCCTTTTCCCAATCAGGTTATGAACCGTTTGTGTGTAACCTTTTAAATTCAATTTCTGGTCAGCCAGAGCTTTACTGGTCTGGACATCGACACAAAATACTTCATGGAGAATCTTATCATGTAGAAAGTTTTCAGTGAAAACATTTCAAATGGATTACCTTACTCCTCTTTGTTCTATATAACCACAAAGCAATCAGTTCTTGCAAATTCTAATTCCGACTGGAATTAAAGTAATGAATATTGTTTTACCTAATGTTGCATTTAAAGATGAAATATAATCTTGAAATTAGTTCCAAATCTGGCAATACGTATCTTTAAGTCCAAGTTTTCCAAATAATATCTCTGATAATAATTTGAACAACCTTTTATTCAATTTGCAGAAGTAGTTAAGGAAAAATCTCTTCGGTTTGAAGGATGATACAATTAGGAAAGTTTTTAAGTAGGTTATACTTTTTTTCCTTTGTAGGCAGTTACTTTCATTAGAGTATGCTTTGGAGACTTGTTAAAGTAAAGAAGTCTCTTATGTAAAGCTTCCTCCATTCAAGACAATAAGGCCAACTCAACTGTTGTGCTTCATGGGCAGAAGTGAAAGGCACATTAAATTTGTTGATTGCAATCTGCCCAGAGTTCAGTACAATATGGGCAGCTATATAAATGTTACACATAAATAAAATTACTCTACTCTTATAACTACACCTTGTATATTATAAGATCCTGGCTGGATTTCTTTTTAATGGCTTCCTTAGTACTTGCAATCAACAT